ATTTTCATTTTCAAAAGTGACTAAGTGACTTAGGACTCATTTCCGCTGGACAGTTATGGGAATAGCTAATTAACAATAATTAACCTAATATACTTCCATCAAAACCTCCTTGAAGACACTCTCGCTCCAGAATAAAACCTCATTTTCCTGAACTAGCTTAATCCAATTGGGAAGAGCCCATTTTCAGCACAGCTTCAGTTCAGCTGCAACTCCATAGGCTTTCCATGATGTCTCAGCCCTTTCAAAATAAGCTTGCAGCTGCTAGTCCACTTACGTTTCTGAAATTTCTACCCAAGGTAAAGCAATCTGCAAAGAGGGTTAGGCTGCAATTACGCATTGGATCATAAAGGTGAAAATAAGCTGGTCTGCAAAACTCCATCTTCAAAGAGTTTTAGAGGCATTAGTTCACTCACTTCACCAACTATAAACACTACTCTTACATATGAAGAAGTTGAGACAGACAGGTGAAGGGACTTCCCTGAAGTGTTACCAAGAGTTAGTATCTCTACAGAGTGTAGGACTAAGGAGATTTTGGCTTCCAATTATACCTGCATTCAAGCAAGTATAAAGACGTCTGGAGGGCCATGTGGAGCAGCAATTCTCCACCACCACTTTCTATTACTGTAGTCAAGGCTGGCACATGCTCCATGGTGCAGTGGTGGCTTGACCAGCTGGGAAGGCCACTTCACCCCCCTATCCCTCCTCCCCAACCCGTAGCTCAGCTCTGTCCAAATAAAGGGTCAGGAAAAAGGTGGTGATCCTCAGACAGGCAGAAATATTTCAAAATATTTCTAAATAAACACTAAATATTGGAAGAAAGAAAATTTCTTACAGAGAGTGGACTAAGGAGATTTTTTCCAATTATAGCTGCATTCAAGCAAGTATAAAGACGTCTGGAGGGCCATGCGGAGCAGCAGCAATTCTCCACCACCACTTTCTATTACTGTAGTCAAGGCTGGCACATGCTCCATGGTGCAGTGGTGGCTTGACCAGCTGGGAAGGCCACTTCACCCCCCTATCCCTCCTCCCCAACCCGTAGCTCAGCTCTGTCCAAATAAAGGGTCAGGAAAAAGGTGGTGATCCTCAGACAGGCAGAAATATTTCAAAATATTTCTAAATAAACACTAAATATTGGAAGAAAGAAAATTTCTGAGTAGAAGTAATAGATAAATATGCTGGTCTGGAATGTTTTCTCCACTAGAAAAGCCTCCCTGTGATCTGAAAAAACATTCATTTTTAATTAGAAGATGAAATATGGTTCCCATGACTGTAAAAATTACTTTACAGCAAGTTATTGTGCTTATTACAACCCTGTAAAAATTAGCCCGGATTTTTCTGATTCCGTATGTCTCCTTGGATTCACTGCTTATCTCACTAATGTCACAGGCATCTCATCTGTGTTTTCTTTGCCTTTTCTTTGCTATCTCCTACTCCTTCATGTTTCCGTGAATTTTCCCCATTTTCTTATACCAGAAGACCTAAGTGCCTTTGACTAGAGGCTTTCCCACAGCACAACTCAGACAGTATCAGCTCCTGATTAGGCAGTCTGTGCTAGCTCAGTCAGAATGAAAACCTTGCGGATTTTATTTGCCCTGAGAGGGGCCCCCCTGGCTTGCAAGCTCAAGATTAAAAACCCTCAGTTTCTCAGTACAATTGGTTTAGTCAGCATTCAGCCCTCATTTTTTGCCTGAAGCAGAAAAGGGGGGGAGAAAAGGAGTTGAAGACAATGCTAGTGAAAAAATCTAAGCTATTTTAATCCAATGCAAATTCTGTGAGCTGTAACGAAACTATATTGTTCCACTATGTTGCTGTTGGTTGCTAGTTAACATGCACTGCCGGTGTGTTGCTGTACAGATCTTTTGGGGTTCGTGGGAAAGCAAGCTCAAAAAAGCCGTGATAGAAAGTCTAATTTGCATAGCAGCAGACAGCAGCTCAGCACTGATTTCCCTTTGATCGAACAGTGTCGAGAAGATTTAAAGCATTTTAGTTTGGAGGTGAAGGAAAGTTATCGGGGAGGAAGAGACCTTCCTTGCTAGCACTGAGTGCTATGTGCCCCCTGCACACCAAACCCTGCGATTAAGCTCCTGCAGTTTGCCCTCCCTTGGTGTCAGAAAGCAGCAGGCATCCTCTGGTATAAACAGTCTGAGGGCTGGGACTGGTCTGAACAGAGCGGAGATGGTGGAGGGGATGCTGCCGGGCAGCCAGACTGTAGCCACACGCAAGCCGATTCCAGGAGGGGAGCCGCACATCCTCTGCAGAAAAAGCCCGCGGTGACGGAGCTGCTACCTTGCAGAAGACCCCACCAGCAAAACTCCGGCTCGGCAGCATTTCAGTGCGGTCCCCGGCAGGGCCGAGGCAGCATCCTCGCTCCACCTCAAAGAGCTGACCTTCAGCACGGGATCAGCAGTCTCGTGTGGGGCAGGGCCTGCCGTGGGGTTGTGCTTTACCTCTCCCCACATCAGTTTTGATGAACTTGGTTCAAAGCCTCTTTCAAAAGCAGATACACAAATGCCACACCCAGGCACAGCTGCTAACATTAGGCAAGAAACCAGCAGACATTTAAATATAGAACAGCCAGGCTTGGTGAGAGGGAAGAGTTCTGCCGGTGCACCTCGACTTCCTCAATTAGCAAGCTCTTACGCTCGATATGGCACAGAATGAAACAGCACAGGCAATCCTTTCATTTGGAAGAACAAATATTCCCATAAACCAAAGTATGGTATGCTAGTCCTCTGTTGGGGTATTTTAATTTTGCAGGGGAAAAATTAAAAACCTTCCACAGCCCAAGATTTTCAAAACCCACCCGAGATTTCTGATGAGTCAAAGTTTAGACACCCAGTTTGCCACATTGTCATTACGGTCTCTCCAGGAGAGATGAGCACTGACTCCCTCAAGACCAGAGACCCTGTTACACATGCCAAGATGGGCATGCACTGGTGGTAAGAAGTTATCCACTGAGGCTTCTGCCTAATACAATTAATCCAACATCATTTAAGCCCTGGCTTTCCTGAGGATAAGCTCCAGCGAGGATACAAGTCTTTGCGCCTGAAAGAAGAATTACCCTCACTCTCTCTTTCACTCAGGAGAAAGCCTTGCACTGTTAAATAAGAAATAAAGGGCCTTCCCTTTGCCCATGCAGTGCGACTGGCTTGTAATCTGCATTACTTGCCATAACTTCAGGCAGCTGTTAGCACTAGCATGCAATGCCCACTTGACTTGCCACCGCAGGTAGCACCAGCCTGCCACCGCACGACAGCAGCTCTGCCAGTGCTCCCAAGGCATTTCGGAGGCACGTGCCACCAAACAGCAGGGATGGCCCGGCGACCCCTGCACAGGGAAAAGGCAGGAAAGCACAGTTAGGCCCGAGCTCACGCAAAGCAGCGACAGGATGACTTGCGGACACCTAGTCCAGGAACAGGCAATGGGATGGTTGTCTAATCGTGTGGATGAAACGCGCAGAAGTCTAGCTCAGTGGTAGGCAACCACTTCTGGCCAGAGCTATACCTGTCTTGTTCAAATTAAAAATAACAAACTCTTGCTCCGGCTCCCTTAGGAAAACCCTCTGGTTTGAACGTCAGCTGCCCCTAAGCCTGGAGCTCTCCCCCTCCCGGCAAGTCTGGTGCGTGACCTGTTCTCCATTCGCATCTGCCTCCACAGCTCCCTCCCCGCAAGCAAGACCTGGAAACGCTAATTCCTGCCAATAAAAGCCATCAGCACACCATCACAAAAAGGCTTTGGGGACCATATTCTGCCACCTTGGTTCACACCAAGGAGTATCTTACTCCCTGCTGCTTCCCATGGGGCTACTGGCCAAGTGAAACCCCAACTGGGCACGAGCAAAGGTGGCCCAATCTAGCCTTTAATTACCGCCACCATCCATACCTTGAGGGCAACTCCGGGTCATACAAATAGCACAGTATTTGAGCAGAAACTCAGTCTCTTTTGTAACCGGTACAGTTTCACTGCTTGGTGTGCTGCTGGCAACTAATTCATAATGCAGGCATGAAACCACAAATCAAGTGGTGAGAGGGACAGAAGATGTGATATTTTATAATTTTTTTTTTTTTTTGCTCAGAACTCAAATACCTTTAACAAATGTGTGTATAGTTCACCGGTATTTTTCTTCCTAAAGCTGTACTGCCATACAATTATAAAACATTACAAATGATGCTTTCCAAGCTGTGACCCAGGAGATAACATTTCATTTTCAAAAAAGACATAATATAATTCCCAACAACTTAGAGACTTAGACTCATCTTTAAGAGTGTCACCAAAATGGTCATTAAGATGCCTTCTGAATATCTGTGCTAAGTGACACATTCTCAACAAAATGTTTGCATGGTTTTCTCAACAAAATGTTTCCATGGGTTTTTTTTTTCTCAAACAGTAATAAAATTCAGATGTATAAACACAATAAAGAAAACAATCAGGGCTTATTTTTCCCTGTCCAAAGTGCGTGTGCTTGCGTGCGCGCATACACACACACACAGAGATATTTGTATTAATGTGAGTAAATTGAGTAGACTTTGTCATGTCTGTATCAACAACCAGCAATATATATATAGTTATGCAGATAAAAATAAAGTATTTTAATAGTTGTGTATATGTAATTTTTTTTTTAACTAAAATAAACCAAATCAACCTCGAATGAGAATATCTAGATAGACACAAAGTCGTATTTGTAGCTGGACCCTTTGAAGTAAGTCCTTGTCTGTCACAAGGAAGAGCAGGCTGAGCCATCTGCAGGAAAGGCTCTTTGCTATCAGTCTTCACAGAAAGGTTAACAGCAACGGGAAAAAAGCCGCTCCCGTCTTTTACTTGAACACGAACTCCGGTACGTGTAGCGCACCAAGGCAGAAGCCTGACGTACTGTAATCTTGCCGAGCTGGGAGCAAGGCAGCCCTTCCTGCAAGCTGACGGAGTGGCTACCTGCACGTTAACCACGGCCGCGGGAGCGTGGAGAGGCTGCAGGGGAGTCGGCACATCGTGCGAGACCTTACCTGTTCCAGGTAGCGTTGGAGCAGGCCCGTCGCTGCTGGGTCCCCCGCTCATCCAAGGCTGCCTGCTCTCTCTTGCCCAGATCACTGAGGCTGGGCGAACTCATGAACTTCAACCTGCGAAGAGTCCTCATGGTCAAATGTGTGTTTGCGCGTGGCAGCTACAGATACACCATCCTGTTTACACACACACACACGCAGCTGGAGCAGCAGCAGCGGCAGCAGCAGCAGCAGCAATGCGAGCAGTTCCCTCCGTTTGCTGTTCAAAAAAGAAACTTAAAAAAAAAAGAAGAGAGAACCAGTCTCTACGGAGCACACCTCTGCCAGCAAGAAAACAAACCTTTAATCAGATCAACTCTGACGTCATCAACTGTGGTTAATAATTTCTCCAGTCCTTTCAAAAAATAAAAGTCGAACTTCTGGCTGCTGCTGCAGCTCTTTGAAGGGGCCCCTTACAACCGCAGCTGCCCCGAGTGCGAGGGCTTCCCCTCCCCCCGTCCCCGGGCACCACGACCCGGGAATCTCGCTCAGCGCCGCGGTGGCATGCTCCACCTGTCGTGGGAACTGCCCGGCTCCTCCAGTGGCTTGGGGGGGTCTGCGCGCATTTCTCAACCTCTCCCTCCCTCTCTCTGCACTCATAAATGGAAATGAAACTGGAGGGCAACGGGCAGAAAAAAAAAAAACACAAGCAGCCAATACTGACGCACTGAGACTTTATTGGAAAGTTTCATAACTGCCTGTGCCTTGCCACGTTACGACACTGCACACACGCGCTCTCGCTCCCTCGCTCATACATATACATACGCACACTCCCGCACTCCCTCTCTCCCGTACACACACAGCACAGCCTCACGGCTCGCCTGGGAGGCTGCTTCAGCTGGAAGTGTCACATAAGCCACAAGACGGAAAGTATTCACAAGCAACACAACTGCAGAATGACAAGTGCTGGTTTGGGTTTTAGCATTTTGAGGAATTTTTGGTGGTGCATAGGAGAGCCAGACGTTTTGACTTTCTCTGCCTTTTTTTTTTTAAATCGAGATAACAGCTGCACAACTCGGGGCATACTTAGTTTCTACAAAAGCCCCAGGTGTTATCTTCAAAGGAAAAATCTTCTTTCTCTCTCTGACTGCAGCACTGGAGCTGAAGGATATGCTGCTACAAGACTCCAGCCCATGCTTAGCTCGCCGTCACTCACTTGTGGTTCTGGTTTAAATTCAGGAGTGCCTGGCTCATCTGCTGGGAAGTAATGTAACAAAACAGCGACTAGCTTTCTCAGAAAAGAAATTGTTTGCGATAGACTGAGCCAGAGCGTAAGAACTGCTCTTCTGTTGCTACGGCATTGGTCTGCAAGTAGTCTGGTAAAAGCCACAAGGGCTCCTTGCAGAGTAACCTTCCACTCACTGGAAGGGGGCTGCACTACAGACGTACTTATCCTTTCTTTTTTCCCCCACTTTCTACTTACTCTTTTCATCTGTGATAACCTATTGTCTAGATTTGGGCTATAATTGGATTTGTTTGTGTCCAAATAATATGGCAAAGCTTACATTACAGGAGAACTGAATTTCTCACAGCGAGATCTGCCCTATGGGCATCATTTACTGACATATTTTAGTAAAAACTGATTCCTCTCACTACTCATCCAAACTCAGCTAAGCTTATTGCATATAAATATTTACTTCCAAAATTTATATTTGGTATTACCTCTATGGGAACCAGTTGCAGAACTACCTAGGGAAATAAATCCATTTTTACCTTGTGCTAGTTTTAGCAGTAGCAGTTTTATCCAGCTGCTTGGATTAGCGTTATATTGATTGTCCTTCCCACACCAAAACCCTCAAGTATACAAATGAGCATCGCAGTAGATGGCACATAACGTTTCATTTTGGAAGGGACCTGCAGTTCCACATCTAACCTATGTACAAAGACATCGCTATCCCCGGTCTCTTCCAGATGTTTAAATCCTTCAAACAAATGAACAACAATCCACTATGTACACAGCAGCAAAAGGAAAACAAACACAACAATATATGGCTGTATTCTAAGAAATGAGATGGCTTCTACAGCATACAAATCAGTGACCAAAAATAGATAGAGCAGAACACTGCTTTGTTCAAATCGGATGAAGGGCACTCCATTTCTGTGGATAATACAGCCCGGGAGAGCAAGGGAGCACAACTCGGTCTGAGCTTCTGCTGAGGGCTCAGGTGAATGTGTGTCTACCCTGTTAAGTGAAACAACTAGTTAGATATATCTGTGGCAATATAATTCCATCTAGTTTCATTTTCCACCTAGCTCAGTTGCTTTTCTGCTTCTCACTTGCTGTGAATTTGATAGGCCTTGCAAAATGTTGTTATACTGGATTAAACACTTGGAATTTTTAACTCTTTGATCCCTCGGCAGCACCAGAGACTTTATAAACTGTACCCTGATGATGCCAGTATGTCAGCCCCTATATAATAACGTTTCGTCTGCTTTTTTTCCCAAAAATCCTCAACTAGCTAATTGACTGAACCCAAGGAGCTGCCGTGTCAACCTTGGATATGCCAGACAACACTGCAAAAAGCAGTACTTTGCTTCCTCATAAAATGCCAAATCCCAAGAGAAGAAAAAAAAGGACCTCTTTCCGTCTGTATGCTGAAATATTACACCTGTAGAAGTCAGCCTATTTTTATGCCACCCCATCAATCTCAGTAACCAGTACTAGATTCAGAGTCGACGCATGAACAAAACACATGGGAGAGGCAGCATTCCAGTTTCCTGAAAAATTTCAGATTGAGGTAACAGAGGACAGGCTTTCTCTACACTTCTTCCTCCTTCCTACGATTCCACCTGATCAAATGTTGATTTATGATAAAATAAATCATTTTCAACAAGGGTTACCTTCACCCATAATTACAGAGTAATACTTCACGTTTACATTGTGCTGTGCGTCCATGGACATCCTTGACTTCACAGCCTTCATTAATCCAGCCCTGAGCAGCTCTTGGGTATGAAGGTAAAAGATAAAATCCGCACTTCAGCGTTAAGAGTGAAGAAGAAAAAGGTGATGTGACTTGCCCAAGCCACCCCTGAGCAGGTGGCAGAGATGTCACGAGATCCCAGGACCTCTGCCTCCCATTCCAGCACACTATCGAGGGGATGCTGCAGGGACTGGGTAGCCGGGGACTCCTTGGGCCCGGCCGGCCGGAGGGCAATGCAGAAGACAGAGCTCCTCGCCAGGGCTTGCAGTGCGGCCGTTCCTCTGTAGCCACTTGTGAAGAGAGTTGTCGCAATACAGCACTGCTTCAAGATCAAGAGGCTAAGCGGCAGAGATTGCTCGCTATTGGTCATGGAGAGGGATAAGAGCACTGACCAGACTAATTGGGAAGGAGGGGAGGACAGGGGATTGGCGGGGGCCCTCCCGTAGGCTCAATAACAAGCACTACAAGCTTCTGAAATAGAACAACTCAGCACATTTACAGAGCTGAGACTGTAAAGTACTGTTACATTAATTCATTTAATCCCAGCATGCCGTACACGGTGCTAATACCACTATTTCACTCACACGAAACCTGCAGCTCAAAGGTGAAGTGATCTAATCAAAGCCACACAACCACCTCAGTGTGGAAGGCACATCCAGCCCTAGCTCCTGCTCCCTCCCTTCCCCTCCAACATCTCTCCTCATAAAAACAGGCCTGTCTCTACTAGAAACCGTTCTTTCATCTTTGGGGCCCACATCCTGCGAGTGACTGCACGGCAAGTCCCGGAGCCGCCACGGTGCTCGAGACGTAGGGGAATTCTGCTCCCCTGGACCTGCCTGCTATCTTGAGGCCTAAAACAATATACAGGTACATGAATATAGGCTGACAGCCCAAGAGGTTTTATGCTGTTATTACAAGACAACGTTAGCATACAGATCCAGGACCTCGTAGCAAACACGGCTTTTAAAATAACCACGAAGGGTAACTCTGTAGTTACCACCTGGTATGCCTGTAACGCCTGCAACGTTCTCGCCAGGAACTGTGGTTTAAAGATCGCATCGCTGCCCCTAGAAAATGTTAAAAAAAAATCCAGGCAGACCTCCCCAAGCATACACTTGGTTTCAAAAGAATGAGATTGGCTAAAAAAAAAAAAAAGAAAAAACCCCTACATTTTATTTACTTAATGCTATGTTAATTTTCACAGTACAATCATACTGTCTTCTTACAAGTTTCTTTTTGACCGCGATGAGAGGGGAAAGGAAGCAAAAAGTAATGTTGATGAACGGGAACATTAAGAAATTCACAAGGTATGAAATTCATAATAAAGCTGCCAATGCTGTGACTGCTACGGGTCAATGTGTCTTCGGCTACACCGTTCTGCTACTGCAATGACAGGTTAACACTGCAGCGATATTGGTGCCAGTGGGAGGATATAATCAGCAAGAGAATTTGTTATCTCAGCTTTATTCACCAGAGCTTTGCCATGTAAAAAACAACTCAATAAATATAAATTTTAATTGGGGGGGGGGGGAAGGGGAGCCCGCTGCTTCACTTTATCTCCCCTCTTCTTTTGGAGAAAAGAGCAGAAATCGCTTTGGAAATGCTGAATGGTGTATGCTCTGCAAGCGAAGAACAAAGAGGTAGAGTGTATCTATGGCAGAAAGGAGTTAAAAACCTCCCTAGCAAATGCACTTTAGTTTTTCATAAACCACACCACAAAACGTAGGGCATGCCTCAACACGTGCCAAAGCTCAGGAATTAGTCTTCTGAAAAACCACACTTCTTAAAGGCACAGCACGTCCTGCTGCGCCAGCAGAGGAGGGGCAAGGCAGGAGGGAAGAAGGAGATGTGAGTATCAGGAGAAAAATAAAAGGAGCGGAGGGGGAAATGAAGTTGCAAACCTTATGACTCATCAATTCTTTTGCTACAATATCCACATAAAGCTCCTTTATAATCAGAAAACAAAGAATAAAGAGAATAAAGAAAGTACGAAACCAAACAGGCACTATTTGCACCCTTCCCCCTCCATCCCACTGACTCTGCAATCCCTGGAGATAAAGGCACTCTCAAGGACAGTTTCTGCCTGTTGTTTACTGAGGCTGGTCACTGGACAGCCTTGGTTTTGCTAGTCCTTCACTTTATTTCTGCTCTCACCAC